TACTTTTTTGTACTTTTAGAGCATGTATATTAAAATACAAGATATTTTACCAAATGATAGCCATAAAACCCTGACTTTGATCATTCTTGTATTTGCACTATGAAGAGGACTTAAATTCTAGTATAGCTACGTGATGGCAGAAAGATGAAAGACTAGGAACTTCCTTCATGGTAATGGTTCATTTTTCCAAATTGGCTAGTTTTGGAGGTGCTCTGAGGGTACCAATTGGTTGACTTTTTAACCTGTGGGATGCAAATGTTCCCTCCGTGTTTTTCCCTTGTGGTGGTACATATACATTTACTGTCTGAAAAGCAAAGACCACACCCACCCACCCGCCTTTTTTTTGTTTTTTGTTTACAGTATCACTTTGTACCTTGGTTTGAACAAAGATGGTATCACTTTGTTCAGTGAAAAAGTAGAAGCAGTGTACATATACTGTATGTGGGCAGGAGATAGCTCATGATATGTGTCCATCAGTTCTCTGAATCTTTTACTGAAACATAGGAAAATAAAACAGATAAATCACATTTTGACTTTGTCGTGCCATTTTCTCATTGGAGAAGAAACGTCCGTTCAACTAGTGTTTACAAAATGATGATGGACACACATCAGTAGTATCTGTTGTGTATTTTCCATCACCAACACCTACAGTGACATCTTTGGGGACGGGGATAATGAAGTTCTGGTGATGACGGAAAGGTGTGTTTGTCAAGAGGTGATGACTTTTCACTAGAAAGAGTAAGTACAGAATTTCAGTGGCACTCCCCACACATTTACTTGGGAGAATCCTGATCCAGTTCCTACTAGAGCTTTAAGTTATATGGATGCTGAGTGGCATCTGTTCTGATTGGCCATTGTGATTCCAGGTCGGGCTCAATGCTAACACTCCAGGCCCTCAAGCTTCAGAACACACAAATGGGTTGGAGTCTGAAGACTTAACTGCACATTCCCACTAGTGTCTCTAGGACAGCCCTTTCGTGCCCAGCCCAGTTTTCATGTTGCAAAGCTTTGAGATGGACTTCATGATTTCTAGTTGCTGGGGTCACTTTAAGGGTTAAAATTATGAATGAGCCTTGGTTTGTGTCCACCCTAGAGGAACCAATTAGTAATCCTTCGTTTCCTTTCTTCCTACCTTCTCCTCTTGTTGCCCATCTGCAGAGGGAAGTGACTGAACAGAAAGGTAACCATCTGGCCACATTGGATTTAGGTAGCGTTAATGTAAGTGTTCTTTCAACGGTAGACATCCCATCACTTCACGTCAGCACGCCTGGGACGTCTACCGGACACCCAGCGCTGCTTTTTTGTTCTAGCACCAAGAACATTAGAACTAGTATTTCTTTACCTGGAGACAGGTAAGTGCCATCCAAGGTGGGTGTTTATCATGGCAATCGCAACATATAAACCAGGTTCAGGGGAAAACAAGACAACTATTCTGACCTCCACGGATGAGCTGTCTGTCCTGCAGATAGTCCACAGCAGATTTCTCTGCCTGCTCCTGAAATTCAACAAAATTTAAAATTTCACTTCTTTGGAAATTTGTATGCAATGGCTGCAAATAAAAAGCAGGTCTAGACAATTCAACCCAACGCCTCTCACACCTTCATCCTGTTGTCTTTCTTTTCCTGTGCAGCGGAAAGAACCCTTGAATCATCAGGTACCATGGAGAGTCCCTGAGTGAGGGTTGATGAATGGAACGTTATCTGATGATAATGTTAGTTTTCCAAAGGAGCAGAGAGAATACAGTCTGGCTCTCTAACGTGTACAAAGGATATGGGTGGGTAAAGCAAAGCCTTGTTGCCCAGAGAGAGAAAATCATTGAGGGGCAGTCCACCCAAAGGTGTGTTAGAAAATGAAATCTCAAACTGTCGGTCAAGCTTACAGCACAACAGGGTACAGGACTTGGGATTTAAGTTCTCAGACCCTCCTTTCCCATGCAACCAGCTGAGCTTAAGGATCCAGGTGGGTTTCTCTTCAAGATGTGCAATGCCAAACCAGACAGGACCTAGAAGAGTAATAAGTTTGAAGAACAAGTTTGAATAATCAAGCATATTTTTTAACAGTTTTAATTTCAAAAGCATGTGAAAAGGAACTGGAGGCTTCTGCCAATACAATGAAGACACATTTGAGGGGCGAGTCCAAGATGGCAGCACAGGTAGCCACTGAGCTCACCCCCCCACCCCCAAGAACACATCAAGTGTACACTAATACCTGGGCAGTGCCTCCTGCGAGCCAACACGGAGCCAACTGAACAGCTGCACAAGCAAGGGAAAGGGACGCCTAGAGAAGGTTGGGGAGCACAAGAGCTCTCCGGAGCTGAGGAACAACCCAGGGCCTGAGAAACTGGTGAGCACCGTTGTTTATGCTTCCCTGGCATGTGGTAGTGGGCAGGAGCTCCATCCAGGTTCCCTGGCCCACCTGCAGGGCACTGGAGCGTGTCCTCAGCCACCCTTCTGTAGCCAAATCCAGCAGAAACAGGAGGAGCCGCAGTTCACACAAGGTGCGCCTCCACCTGAAAGCTGATTCAGCAGATAGAGCAGGGTGCTGCTTTGCACACCACACCCACTGGGCTGTGTGCACACGGAGCTCCCCCCCACCCCCGGAGAGAATGTGGGACCAGAAAATGCCATGATGTCGCCTGTAGGGATACCCTGTCCAGAGAGTGTACAGATAGTGGGCAGGCTGCACTCCTGGAGACACTGCGGAGCTAGCAAAATGGCAGTACCCACACGCTGCCCCGTGCGGAGTGAATGGGGTACTGTTGTGTGCATGTAGGGTTACCCTGCCTGGAGAGGGTGAAATATAGTATATTGCAGCTCAGCATGCATGCAAGACTGCCCCACCCAGAGAAAGGGCAGAGCTGGTAAGGCAGGCACACAGAGTGGCCCTGCCCATACCCTGCTCTGACTGTGGACATTTAAAGCGATAGGGCACTCACACAGGGCTGCTCCTGTGGACAGGGGCACCTCTGAGTGCATGAGTAGGTGCACTGTCCAGAGAGGGAGCAGAATTGGTGGGTTGCTGAGAGGCAAGTACGTAAAGCAGCCCCACCCAGACCCTGCTCTGATCACAGTTAAAAACAACCAGGCACACCAACAGCAAACCAAGCAGTTCCGTCTACATCAGGCAGCCTGACCCAGATTAGAAAAGCAAGGAAGCACACACACCCCAAGCTGCCCCACCCAGAACTCACTCCTTAAAGCCAGACCACACACCAGGAACTATACATAGCTGCATGGACTACAATTGGCCTGCCAAAATGATTCAACACACAGTCTACACAGAGACCACTCTTTCAAGACTGGGAAGGAAAAAGAGCTATTCTATCCAATTCATAGGAAAAAAACACAGAAAATAAAATTAAAAAATGGGGAGACAGAAGAACATGCCCCAAATAAAGGAATAAGAAAATACTCCAGAGAAAAACCCTAATGAAATAGAAATAAGTGATTTACCCAATAAAGAATTCAATCATCAAAAGGATGCTCAACAAATTTGAGCATACAATAAAGGAACTCAGATAATGCTTCAGCAAAAAGATAGAAAATGTAATAAAGAACCAGTCAGAGGTAAAGCATATAATAACTGAAATGAAAACTCTAGAAGGATCCACAGCAGATTAGTTAATACAGAAGAATAGATTAGTGACCTGGAAGACAGAATAATGAAATTCACCCAATCAGAACAGCAAATGAAAAAAAAAATTTTTTAAGTGAAAATAGTATGAGATCCCTGGATAACATCAAGCACCCTAACGTTCTCATTATAGGAATTCCAAAAAGAGTAGGAAGTAGGGGAGGAGGAGGATCAAAGAGGAAATCAAACACTACCTTGAGACAAAAATGAAAGCACAACTTTACAAAATTTATGGAATTCAGCAAAAGCAGTTATAAGAGGAAAGTTTATAGTTATACAGGCTACCTCAAGAGGGAGGAAGAATCCCAAATAAATAATCTAAAATTACATCTGAAAAAACTAGTAAAAGAGAAACCCCAAAGTAAGTAGAAGGAAAAAATAAGAATCAAAGCAGAACTAAACAAAAGAAAAAACTTTATAAAGCCCACAGCTAACACCATACTTAATGGTGAAAAGCAAGAAGCTTTTCCTCTAAGATCACAAAAAATGTAAGGATGCCCACTCTCACCATCACTTCTCAATATAGTATTGGAAGTCCTAACCACAGTAATCAGACAAGAACAAGAAATAAAAGGTATACAAACTGTAAAAGAAGTAGTAAAACTTAATATTTTCAGATGACATGATAATATATATGTAGAAAGCCCTAAAAAAACACCAAATATTAATAGAATTAATGAAACAATTCTGTAAGGTAGCAGAATACAAAATTAATAAACAGATATACATTGTGCTCCCATACAATAACAATCAGAAGGAGAAATTAAGAAAACAATCCCATTTACAACTGCAAGAATAAAATAACTAGGAATAAATTCAACGAATGAGGCATTCTGAAAACTACAGTGGGGCCTTGACTTACGAGTTTAATTCATTCCGTGACAGACCTTGTAACTCAAATTACTCATATGTCAAATCATAAAGTGAGCAAGTGAGACACGTGATGCTGGGCTGATGTTGTGGCGTTCACTGTGACATTTGCTGTGCTAACTA